TAGACCCCCAATTGCTTCTCAGGTGTCATAACAGACATGCATACCCTTACGAAAAAGAAGTGTATTCAAGTGTGCTATTAGTATACTTCTTTTAAACTAAAAATAGGAAAGTATACTTTTACTTGCTCAAATAAACTTGAAGTATACTACTTTTTGGTAAGGGTAGGCTATTAATGATGCCACAATAAGTCGTTTTTTTTTCTTAGCAGTGACTTGGGTTTTCTTAGACAGCAGAAAAGATTTTTTTTTATATCTAACGTTCTTAGCAATGGATCCGTTCGCATGCAAAGGCAACGTTTTGCTGCTGTGCAATTTAAGACTCATCGGAACCGAGGCGCGTGCTCTTAAAAGGGCAACAGCTTTTGCAGGTCATGCTGGGAAGTGTGCAGTTATGTGTGTCAGCTGATGCAGTAAACAGTTCATCTTCTCGTTACATATCAGTTGATAAGTGACTTAACAGTAACACCAAAAACTTTGTGTTGAGTGCGGTGACATTGTTTACAACAACCAGGTGATGATGACCCTTTAAAAACACAAAAACACTGTGGTATAGTACCATGGTATTGGATGGTAATACTGAATTATTAACATATTTGTGTGTATAGTTCAGAAAATCACCATGGTTTTTCTCTATAACACGAGGATGAGTAAATAATGACAAATCTTTCATTTTTGGATGAACTGCTCCTTTAAGTCTCACAAACTCAGCTCACTTGTCTGCTGTGTTTACCACAGTCTGAATATTAAACTTCCTCTCTCAGCGCTCAAGACCCTATTGTGGTTTCCTTTGCTAAATAGTTTTCACATGTCACGCTCGGATGCTTTGTTTATCTCTCTCTTGTTCCTTGCTCTCGTTCTCTGTGTCAACAGTACAGTGTCGCCCCCGAGGCTCAACTCCACAAAACTGGCAGAGGATACTGGGGCAGGAGGGCAGCAGTGTTATTCACTGAACACAAAGAGGTGAACGGCATGAAAAACAGGATGAAATGCTGATCATATGACCAAAAATACAAAAGACACAATGTTACCTTCTCTCAGTCAAATCAGAGTCACAGTGTCCTTTTGGACTGTGTGGTTAGAAACAGACAGGCCAGATTCTGCTTTATGGATTCACAATATCACTGGATATACTGAAAATATATAGCAATTATAAATATAGATATATCTTATCTATATTATCTTGTTAATATAATTAATTCAACAAGATGCTAAGTTTAGTCAATTTTTATTTAGTTTGCACAACTTAAAATTATAAATTTATTCAACAAAATGCTTAGTTTAAACAACTAAACGTTTGTTGGTCTCACTAATTTTATGTTGTATCAACTTTGGCACAACTTTATTGTCTTGTTGGCCTGATTAAAAACTTATAGAGTTAAAAAAACTTATTAAAAGTATAGAGTTGATTCAGCTTCACCCTTGTTACCCCAACTATTAATTATAGGTTTAAGGAACTCCAACATATGTTTACATTTACATTTAGTCATTTAGCAGATGCTTTTATCCAAAGCGACTTACAAATGAGGACAATGGAAGCAATCAAAATCAACAGAAGAGCAATGATATGCAAGTGCTATAACAAGTCTCAGTTAGCATAACGCAGTACACGCAGCAAGGTTTTTTTTTTTTCATCAGGAACTCTTTCTTGAAGTTACTGTATATCTAGCCCAGCGTGGAATCTGCAACTACAGAATTCGGCGGAAATTTCCACAGAATTCAGACTCAGATTCACAAAGTTCTATGCATCCTTGCCTTTTGTGTCTTCACTGATTTCATTTAAATATTATCTATTAATAATAGTGCAGTATTTAGTGCAAATTTGACCAATATTTAATAAGGGTCTGATTATTTGCAGGAGAAAAAAACAAAACAGAAGATTACTCTTTTTTTCATTTACTACACTTATTATGAGCCAGGGGACATAATTAATTTCATTATTATTATTTTTTTAAATAATTGGTTAAGTACATATTAATTTAATCTTAATTTGACGTTTAATTTGACTTAAGTTTTATTTTAGTAGTATTTATATGCTGTTATAGTATTTATTAATATTTTTAATAACCTTTATTATTTTTTCAGTTTTCATTTTAATTTTAGTTTAAGTTTTAGGAATTTTGATATGTGCATGTCATTTGATCATATAGCTTTAATACATTTTTATTTCAGTTTTAGTTTTAGTAATTTTACTACTTCAACTTGATTTATTTCATTTAGTTGCCAAAGCAGCATCTCTAGTTTTCTGTTTCAAAGTTTTTCATGTAATGTTTGTATAAAAAATTTTTCAGGTATATTTCAGTTACCAAAAATAGTTATAGTACAACTGCAATATATATAAATTCGGCAGATTTTTTGCCCACAATGTCGAAAATGTTTCTGGTGGAACTAGTCTACAAAAAGTAGAATGTCCTGTGAAATTCTGTTGTTACCACTGAACTAGTTTCTTGTTGTTTGACTTAAAATGATGGTGACCTGGATGACTGGGGATCTCCACATTCATATTTAACCAAACTTAATGTTTAGAGTGATTGCATTGAGATTAACCTGTTGACCGCTGTGTCCAGTTTGACCAGAAAGAGAGGACCACATTTCTGGGCAGCAGGAAAGACTACTGGGACTATTTCTGTGACTGCTTGGCCAAGATTAAAGGAGCTAATGACGGCATTCGCTTTGTCAAAGCAATCCCCGAGGTAATCCACCGCACAAGCCCAAAACTCTCTTCAGCCAGTGCGTGTTTGGCTCCAGCCTGCCTTCTCACTTCTCTTTCGCACTTTCATGTTGCTGGTGTTCTGACATTTTTTACATCCGTTTTTTATTTGCACCTCTCTGGAGGGTTCGAAGCAGGAAACAGTGACATTCAGCTTCAGGTTGGTCATGTGTTATAGGTATTCGACTAGCAGTAGTGACTCTCACAAAGATTATTGTAAAGTTCACAGGCATGTTATTCCTTTACCAAGGCAGGTGGTTTTTAGTGCTGTTTGCTAAGACGTGAATAACTATTACCATTGCTCATATTGTGGGAGACGAACCACTATGCTAAAATATTAAACCTTTTTTGAGCTAAAGTATTAAATATTACTACTAAGCTATAGAGTTGATTCAGCTTCACCCTTGTTACCCCAACTATTAATTATAGGTTTAAGGAACTCCAACATATGTTTACATTTACATTTAGTCATTTAGCAGATGCTTTTATCCAAAGCGACTTACAAATGAGGACAATGGAAGCAATCAAAATCAACAGAAGAGCAATGATATGCAAGTGCTATAACAAGTCTCAGTTAGCATAACGCAGTACACGCAGCAAGGTTTTTTTGAAATAATATAATAAATCAAAAGAAAACAGATAGAATAGAAAAAGAATAGAGCAAGCTAGTGTTAGAGGCCTTTTTGCTTTTGTTAATTGTATAATAAATAAAAAGAAAACAAATAGATAGAAAACAAATAGATAGAATACAAAAAGATTATGACAATATATTTCATATGCAGAAATTTAATAATTTGGTAGTTGATATGCATGATATTTCATGAAATACTTTTGGTAGTACTCCATTTAACACTATTTTAAAGTGCATTTTGCAATAAATTTATAATGCATTAACTTTTTATATGACTTCATATTAAAAAACTAAGTAATGTTTGTACTTTTATTAATCCCTTTATCATATCGCAAGACATATTGCCAAAAAAAAGAAAGAAATGTGAATTAGTTATTAGTACCTCAGATATACTTTATGCATAAAGTTTATCCTAAAATCTGAAAGGTAAAAAAAGAGAAATGCGAGGTGTGCGTCAACTACACAAATGCATTTCATTAATGGATGACTTTTCACGGTTATCCAGACCAGTGATGCAGAAAGTCCAGGGAATAAGTAAACAGAATACATTTCCTGTATCTGTATGTTTAAGAATAGACAAACCGAACATGACTTAAGATTCAAAAAAAGAAACTGTGTGGTAAAATGCATACTTTTGTCACCTGTGCTATGTTTTAGTACTATACATTATATTTTGAGTGATTTGGTGGATTTCTAGGGCACTTTATCAATTAAATTCCTAAGCTAGAGCTATATATCCATCTATATATCCATCTTGCTCAGTATCTTCCTCGCAAGGCCAGTCCTGGGTTCTGTCTAAGTGTTTTACAGCCTGCCTTCATTTCTCAGCGGTCCTGATGACCTGGAGAGAAGATTTTTTTTTCTCTTCAATCCTTTAATTCCTAGTGGAAATCAGTGTGGGTAGACATTGCTATATTTGCAGAAAAAACACTTAAGTTATTTGCTTGACATGTCTGTTTTATTTAGATAGTTTATTTGGATTTATCAATAAAAACAAATGCATGATCATTTATTTTAGATTTGGTTTATGCTGAAAGAAAAACAGCCTAATATACGTTGCGAACAGTTAGCTGAACACCAGCTAGGCTGTAAGACCATCTACTAAAACCAGCAAACCATCTAAAGCTGGTTTAAGATTTTTTTTCCCCATGAAATACACCTATTTTATACTCACTTAAACATTTTTAAACATGTCTGAAAATCAGTTAGGCTGAACACACCAAACACTTGTAGCAACTATGAACCAGTTAACCGTGTGCCATCCAATCACTGCACACTCCTATTTCATTTAGTGATATGTCAGATTATATCATTAATATTGAATACATAATATTTGTAGTATAAACTTACAGCACATGTAATTTAAGATGCACAAAATAAAGTAAAATAACTGATTTTAAGTAAATCCGCGTTGCCCTTTTAAGAGCATAAACTTACAGCACATGTAATTTAAGATGCACAAAATAAAGTAAAATAACTGATTTTAAGTAAATCCGCGTTGCCCTTTTAAGAGCATAAACTTACAGCACATGTAATTTAAGATGCACAAAATAAAGTAAAATAACTGATTTTGAGTAAATCCGCGTTGGCCTTTTAAGAGCTGTTTTGGGTCCGCACGTGCTTTCCATACATGGAGGCTCTAACAACAAACAGCAGCGCGTTTGACCGACAGTAACCTCGCGCATCGCTATAAAAGCTTGGAGGAGAGGAAAAAGGTCCGTCCATAAGAGCGCAAAGCACCACCAGTACAATATCGCTTTGAGAGAGTTAGAACAGCTGTTTTTTCTCTCTTCTCAAAAGGAATTACAGTTTATATGAAATAAGGAATAATCATTTCAGAGCAGGAAATAACGGTGAGTAACGTTGAGTTTCTTTCTTTTTTTTTTGAGCAGTGAGCTCTGTGCCAAGTTTAATTTTATACTAATTTATAGATGCATCATTTTGCATAAACCTACTAATTTTGTCATCAGAAACACGCTGTTGTTGTTTTTCCACAAATTACGCGAGCGACGCATTTGTGTCTTTTTTAAAATCGTAAACACTTGGTGAGTTGCGAAGCTCTGAAAGCTTTGTGGCAGTCTGTTATGTTGTAAGCTGATAAAAAATTGTCACGTATTATCGTATAGTAATTGTGCTAGATAAGTATATGACTATTTTAACTTGCCAGTTCTTTAATCAGAAACGCGCTGTTGTTGTTTTTCTGCTAAACTTGCACGATCGTGTATTTGATTGAAAACACTTGATGAGTTCTGAACTGATACTGGCAGATGTGTATGTTGAAGAGTTGTGTATTAGTGACTGTTATTTTCATTTGTACGCTACTGAGAAAATGACAACTTAAAAAAGCAGACGAACAAAGAAGACGTGTCGCTTCAGCATCTGTTCGTAACCGAGTCTGCGCGAAATGACCGAGAGTAACCTCTCCTCTGCGGAACAATGAAAAGCACACTGAGCTCTCCGACTCTTTTGCATCTTTAAAACATCACGATTATAAACACGTCTGATGGTTAAAACAAAAGCTTAGGTCTATAGTTCAGTGTTTGAATCGGTGTCATTTCGTATTGTGTTCCATAGAGGTAGGCTAATTCGTGGCAAAGATTGTGTAGAGCAGTGGTTCCCAACCCTGGTCCTGGAGGCATCCCAACACTGCACATTTTGCATGTCTCCTTTCTCTGACACACCAATTTCAGGTCTTGAAGTCTCTACTAATGAGCTGATGGTCTGAATCAGGTGTGTTTGATTAAGGAGATATGCAAAACGTGCAGTGTTGGGGTGCCTCAAGGACCAGGGTTGGGAACCACTGGTGTAGAGTAAACAAATGTATGGGGGACTCTTCTTACATCATGTCTTGCTTGGACACATTTTTAAGTCAGTCGTGATGGACAGGTTTATTTTTCGTGCTTTAAGTGCGCAGTAAGCCTAAAACAACTTATCTTTGATGTATGTGCAAGAAACGATAGAGTAGAGTACGACGCGAGAGAAGCGATATGATGACGAAAATGGTAAACAAGACGAAAAATACGAAAATGGACGCGTCCGCTAGGGACGCTCTTTATAATGTTATGTATGAAAAGCAAAAGCATAAGAATCCGATTACCTAGCAGAGTGCCATATCTGTATAAACTGTACAAAAATGACAGAAGCAAAACGCATTGGCTGCTAATGAATGATACAGGTCTTTGTACAGAGACTATATGGTTCAGCGACAAATCAATAAAGGGATAAATATTTTATAGTTCAAAGCACATCCACCAAGTTCTTAGAAAGTGTCATCTTTATATTCAGGTTGCATTTTTAAAACATTTTTTCTTGCCACATGACAACAAAATGGCTTTCTGGGTGTTGTTTATGCCACACTGGATCATGGTGGACAACATTCATTAAATTAATACATATCATAAATAGTGTATTATAGTATTTTTTTAATAACTTAATTGATACAGAAAAAAATTACATGTAATTCCCCCTAATATAGCCTTGACTCATACATTTAGTTAAGAATGCTAACCATTCAGATTAATTTGAAAATGCATTACTAGACAATTTAATCAAAACACCAGCAGGACATCATGATATTTATGATTCAGTTCATTATGCAACGTACCAACCCACATGCTGACATTGTGCACTGTTTCCACTCACTCCTTGTAGTCTCCTATACAAGATAAGACGAATGGCTTGAATATACGATATCAATGCCAAAACATTGTGTTTAAATTATTATTTTACCTTGCTGACATTGGAGGTGATTATGAATGAATCCATTTTCTCTGTAAACTATCCAAAATCATTCTGTTGTCGTAGTTAATTTTCTGCCTTAATTATACAAAATACACAAGGAAATCAGCTGAAATGTTAATGGGAAATTCTCATAATCTGTTGAATGTTTACTCATCCAAATGTCTAGTTTATTTTATTGCAACACTGTATATTATAAAGTCCCATCTGGATAAAGGTGGCATGAGATAATTGACCAACTGACTGACTGATCAAAAAGAGCTTGGCATCATTAGCTTTATCTCTTTTGTTTGCTTCTTATTGTCTTACTAGTTGCAGAGAGGAGGCACGGACAGTTTGGATCCGTGGCAAGATGACTGTCTCCACTCAGTTGGGTTTGCTGTTGTGGAAGAACTTCACTTACCGACGGAGACAGACTGTAAGTTCATATCACATGCATCGAGCAACTGAGCAATCAGTCATATACCAAAAATACCAATAAAAGTAACAATGTAAACAAAAATGTTTCATATGCAACAAAATGAATGCCTTTTAAAACATATGGAGTCCCCAGGCTCCTTTTATTTGTTTGGTGACATCTGTGAGGTTCTGGGGGTCACCAACACATACCGCATTATACGAATTTCCAACCCCCGTATTTAAAACAATGAATAAATACATAAATAAAAAAGACTAATTACTTAGGATTAAGTGTGATCATTCGGTGTGTTTTATTGTGAAGGGATTTTCAAGATGTTGACGTAATTGTTATTTATTGAATTACTTGTACTTAATGTAAAATGATAGCAAAACAAATAGAGTTCTGTTCTTATCAGCCTTTGCTTAAAGAAGTAATGTCCTGTAAGTGAATGTACTTCTGATTAAATGATGATGACAGCATGCATGCTCTTGGCTTTGAACGTATGAACAGGAGGTTCAGCAAATGAACAAGATTGTCAACAGGAAAGCCATCAACCGTCATGATAAACTGGATTTTCTGGACTTGCTAGAATAGTTTATTCAGGATATGTCAATAGCAGATATGCTGTGCTGTTGAATTCAGATTAAAGTTCATAAGGGAGGAACCAAAACAATTCAGGATGATGAACAAATGAGTAAATATATACACACTATTGTGTCTTTTTCTTTCAGATTCAGCTGCTGATCGAGATCATATGGCCACTCTTCATCTTTTTCATCTTGATATCTGTCAGACTCCACTATCCTCCATACGAGCAACATGAATGTAAGTGGCCTAAGATGGTTTTCCCCAAAACACAAGCACAAAATGAATGCAAATGCATTGTATGAGATTTGAGCTTAGTTTAGATAGTGTCTTTCTTGCCCCAAGAGTTCAATATAAATCTGACTAAATTAGAATAATAAAACAGCCATTGGTCTGGTTTATATCATTTTGATTGTGTTATTTTTATTAACTGCTTTTGCAAAAGGTTTGCACTGAAAAGGTCCTGAATGCATTTTATTTAAAGCGCTTGTGTCACCACGTCTTACTTAATTCAAGCGTCAATATTTGCTCATCTTTGGAAATCACACAGTCCCCAGGGGAGGTCAAGGACAGCAAAGCAGCTCCAAGAACAGCATGACATTTGATATATCACAAGATCTCTGAAACCCAGTTTTCTTCCTTTGAACTGACATAACTAAATGTTAACTATTTTTGATTTAGTTCCAAATCAGAAAATGAGGACCAGACGAATAGGAAAAAGAAAACAATATTACAGTAGATCTGGTTTGTGAAAACATACGCTCTTCAAACAAGCAGAATCTATTTAAGGGAAAGAATTTCTGCAGGGATGTTTCCAGGAATTGTGTGTGTGTGCAAACTGTAATTTTGATGTGTAAAATGCATGATATTTGCCTAATTATTCTCCAAATAAAATACACTTCATTTCATTGCATTAAATGCATTAGATTGCAGAAATATGGTTGCAAAGGGCATTTTTTGTTGAAGATTTAATATCACACATTTGTTCTAAATCTGATTCCTTTTCCAGGCCACTTTCCCAACAAGGCCATGCCCTCTGCGGGGACTTTACCATGGGTGCAGGGCATCATCTGCAATGCCAACAACCCCTGCTTTCGCTACCCCACCCCTGGAGAGACCCCCGGGGTGGTGGGCAACTTCAATGACTCCATGTAAGTATTTCAGGTTTTGGGTCTGCATTGGATTTTACAGACTATATATGGAAGTTTCCCTCATATATGTTTCACTGTCATCATTTACAGCATCTCCCGACTGTTCATCGATGCTAAGAAAATTCTCCTCTACAGCCAACATGACAAGAGCTTTGAAGGTTTCAAAGGACTTGTCCGGGCCTTGAGAAACCTGCAGAGAAACACTGAAGGTACGTCACATTCAAACGCCTTCAATATCTTCAACATACACTATATAGTTCAAAAGTTTTGGAATGAAGACTTTTAGGATCACCAAGGCTGCATTTACTTGATTAAAAATACTGTAAAATCTCTAATAATGTGAAATATTGTTAAAAACGAAAAGAACTGTTTTCTACTTGAATATATTGTAAAATGTAATTTATTCCTGTTATGCAATGCTGAATTTTCTCCAGTCTTCAGTGTCACATGATCCTTCAGAAATCATTCTAATATTCTGATTTAGATCTCAAAAAAACATTTATTTTTATCAACATTAAAAACCTTAGCACTGCTTGGAAACCATTATACAATGTATTTCAAGATTTTTTCAAAAGAGCAACATTTGTTTGAAAAAGATATCTTTTTGGAATGTGATGAAAGTCTTTGAATCCTTGCTGACTGAAAGTAGTTTCTTAAAAAATCTTATTAACCCAAAACCTTTTGAACGGTAGTGTGTTAATTTGATGTTACTTTTAGTGTATGTTGTGCTAAAAGTAATAAAAGGATAATTTATGGTCTCATTAATGAACCAGAATCGATACATGGAATTAGAATCTCTCCCTTCACTTATGTTGAGATTCATGTGTCAGTCTCTTCTGAGTAATATGCATTAAAAGGTCATACGTTCTTCTCTTGGTTTCAGTTTCTAAAGTCACTCTACTACTTTATAGCATTGTTTACTCTCACATTTGTCTCAGTATAACTAGCTGGTTCGGTGTACATTTGTTTGAAAAAGAAATCTTTTTGGAATGTGATGAAAGTCTTTGAATCCTTGCTGACTGAAAGTAGTTTCTTAAAAAATCTTATTAACCCAAAACCTTTTGAATGGTAGTGTGTGTTAATTTTATGTTACTTTTAGTGTATGTTGTGCTAAAAGTAATAAAAGGATAATTTATGGTCTCATTAATGAACCAGAATCGATACATGGAATTAGAATCTCTCCCTTCACTTATGTTGAGATTCATGTGTCAGTCTCTTCTGAGTAATATGCATTAAAAGGTCATACGTTCTTCTCTTGGTTTCAGTTTCTAAAGTCACTCTACTACTTTATAGCATTGTTTACTCTCACATTTGTCTCAGTATAACTAGCTGGTTCGGTGTGCAATTAAGTTGAAGTAGTGAGTCCCTACACCCTAATTTCCAACGAGCATCAGTGTATCCAATGAAATGCAAGCACCAGGGGGATTTGTCTGTCTGTTTCCCATCCAACAATCAGATTAGGTGTGGTTCCTCATTTGAGATTCAGTGTTGAACGTCAAATAGGAAACGTTCTGTATTAGTCATTTTTTGACTATTGAAGACTACAAAAGTGGTCATCAGTATCTGCTAATTTTTTTCTCTTGCTTAGAAGATTTTCATTATTGCATTATATGGCTAGGATCTTTTAGATGCATTGCTATGCAGTTGACAGGTGGTTGCATTACAGCCCTGCATAAATCTGTATTATATTCTGGTCTTTAGATCCTTTTTCACATTTGATAACATCAAGGACCACTTGCAGAAGTGATACTTGCAAAAACCACTAACATTCACAATACACTTGCTTATAAATGGACAACTTTGTGACCTTTATTTAGACAGACAGCTCACCGCTTGTGGGAGTTGCGTTTACTCACAGCTGACAGCATTTAATTAATGTTCCCGGAGGAGCTGCTGCTTGCACCTGGGGCTTGAGGAATAGGATGCTGGCTTTGTCCACCGTGGATTAGAAAGCCTCAAAAGTCACAATGGTTAAACATGATCATTTCATGCCACAGAGATGCTTACGATTCATATGTGTCGATGCAATCTAGTAATATGTTTGAAGAAGATATGATAACTCAAAACTGCTTTGAGGTTTTGTAAAGGAGAGGCTTGTGTCATGAAACTGAAAGGTTTTTTGAGGAACCAAAAACGGTTCTTCTATTGCATTGCTGCAAAAAAAAAAAAAACTTTTGGAACCTTTAAGAGTGTATAGCAAATGAGATGTCTTTGATATCCTAATTGTTTCTTCTTGAAGAGCAATGCATTCAGTGGAGATTTGATCTGACTCTGATCTTTCAGATTTGTCTTCTGAGAAAAAATGGTAGTAATCCTACGTGCCTCAATGAGTTTCATAAAAGTATCAAAACTGCTTCTCAGATGTGACTCAAATGATCTGAGCTATATTTTGAGCTTTTATTTTATAGCCCTATACTCTTTTTATTGGCAACTATGGTTCCATGTAGAATTTTTAACATCCATGGAACCTTTCCATTCTATATAGTGGAAATATTTTTTAAATGTTCTTTGCATGGTTCTTTTAAGAAGGTTCTTTTATGGAATCCCTGTGAAAGACCTTGTTTGGAACCTGTATGTTTGCGAATGGATTTGTGGGTGTTTGTACTGTGTTTGCACAAATTCTGTACTCTGCGCCCCCTGAAATCTTGTATAGCTCATTTCCCAAAATCTTCCTGAATAGTTAAACAACAATAAGAGCATCTGAAAAGAGGTTTCAGAGAAGCGGCTGGGGAATGACCTGTAGTAACCCCAGAGGAAAGAGACTGACTCAAACCAGTTCATACCATAACGATGACTCTTCTGGAACGTTCTGACACGCAACACAATGAGCTCTGTGAGGAACACTGCTGTAGTTGCTTTCTGGCTTTTGTTGTTCCTCCGTCCTTTACCGTGGACATCTTGCATGATGAACTCAGAATTGAGAGCTAAATGACCAATTCTCTCGTGACTGCAGCAGTTACCGAACGCAATAGTTCAGCTGCATTACCTCACTGGCTTTATCATTGAGTTGGGAATTGCAGTAGAGTCATACTTTTCACAATGTTCTTAACGACACCCTTTGTTAAAAATAATATTATTCACGGTGCTATTGTGATCACTGCTTTATGTAATTAATTCAATGAAAAAGAGCAATTTGACCTGTGTTAGTCAGCATTATTCTGACATGATGCTATCAAGTATATACGTTATATGAATTGCTTGCATACTTTATGTATATATATTTAAATAACTTACAATTTATATTATGATTTATTTATATTATTTATAAGTAATATAATTATGTCTATATAATATTTATTATAATATTAATAATATTTATTATTATTTATAAAAACATTTATTTATTTATTTATTTATTTGTCAGCATTATTCTGATGTGATGTTATCAAACTCAAATATTTAAATTAGTAGTTATATGCACAATTTATATATATATTTACATAAATTCTAGTATTAATAGTAGTATTATTGTTATATATATATATATATATATATATATATATATGTGTATATGTGTATATGTGTATATATGTATAATAGTACTATTTTTTATTAGTGTGTATTTATATTATTATAAAAACAATATAAATATTATATATAAATAAATAAATATGGTATTTCATGCTTATATTTTTAGTCTTAAAGGTTTTCTTTTTCTCCTAGGGTTCAAGCTGAAGGACTTCCTCCGTGATAATGAAACGTTGTCTGAGTTTCTTGAGAAAAATGCTACCCTGCCCAAGCATGCTGTGAGACAGATAGTGGAGGCTAACGTCAACTTGGAGAAGGTAAATGAACTGCACAACACAAGCTGTTTAAAAACCCTTGAACGACCAAATCATCAGACATCAGGAACTTTTTTTCACAGATGTACGTTGTTTGCCCGTCCGGTGTTGTTTTTAATTACCTTCACACACATGTATACACAGCGCTTAAAATATTTCACACCGTCTGGCATAGTCATTAAACTGCAGCCTGTCATCTATCTTGGGACCGTTATGTAACGCACTGGTTCGTGCAGATATGAAGCGATCTGTTTTTCAAAGCCCTGTACATGCATCCATACGCTCTCACATGCGGATGACCTTTATGTGGAGGGGTACGAGATCACGGGCAGATGCTGCGGATGATGGATGTCCTGCACAGCTGTACATGTGCTGCTGTGCGCTGGGGGGTGGGGGGAGTGGAGTCACATGACTGTTGCCCTGCAGAACCACAGCCACAGGTCAATTCCTGGAAAACTGACACAGGCCGACCGATTCCCAGCACCTCTGACAGATGCGCCGCAAGATAGGGACAGCTTTGATAACACCGTACTTCCGTTTATTGAAAATATGCCCTGCGTTTCATTCTTCACATAGCATACGTCGTAAAATCGATCAATTCTTTATGTTGCCCAGCTAAAACCAAAAACAATGGCTATTTGTTAAAAATATTTGGATACTTAAGCTGCATTTAAAATGCATCAGATGCATTAGAAACATTCCACTAACATTTAGCAACCAGAAAGTGTTAAAATACTTTTAATCTTAATATTGAACATCATATCTATTGTTGTATAATTTAAAATGAACTGAAGTGCTAAGTTTATTTGTGTTCTCTTTCTTTAAAATGTATAGATAAGATAAGATTTTTTTTAAAGAAATGAATACTTTTATTTAGCAAGGACAAATTCAGTTGATCAGAAGTGACAAAGACAATTTTACTTCAACATTGATATTAAACATACATGTTTTTGAACCACAGAGTATATGCATATATTATGTGCATATAAGAAACTGAGATAGTTGTCTTAAGTCATATCTTAAGTGTTTTTCCAAATTAGCCTTAAGACATAATTTCAGAACATCCTGTTCTTAATAACTGAATGGTGGATTGTGCTGAGTCTCTGAGAGAGTGACGGAGCTGATAGAGAGTCACGATCTTACAAAAAATTAAAGAACAAGACTTCTTTTTTTTTTTTGGACAGGCTGTGTTTTAATCTGTCTGTTGGGCATTGTCTCTTTCACAAAAGTAAGAGCGTGTAATTACGTGGTCACGTAATGTCCTTTCTAGCAATCATTTGCACCCATTCTCTGGAGATCTGCAGACTTAAATGCATCAGATCGCCATTGAGAGTCTCACAAACGTGATTGACTTGTGTGTAATAGTCACATGACATATATAGCTCAGATGATTGGCTTAAAAAGTGCCCATGAAACAAAGATGGTAGCTTCCAGGTTGCGTACTTGAAAATATGATTGCAGAGAGTTTGTTTAGTTGGTTTCAACTGCTATTTGTGATCAACAGGTGCTTATTAAAGGCTTCGGCGTTCATCTCAGAGACTTGTGCAATACCACATCTCTGGAGGATTTCGTGACAATAGCCGATAAGGACATGTCTCAGCTGACGCAAAACATCATCTGTCAGTCAACTGCTGAATGGCTGAACAATGCAGAGAGCCACTTCCTGTCCAACCTGGACTTCCTGAAGCCAATACGGGTAAGTAAATACAACTGTTAAATAATAAATCCCTTCCATCATTATGAACCAACATCACAGGAACTAGAATACAAGAATGAAAGTGCCCATGTTAATAATTGCTTGTGAAGATGTGTTTTATGTCCTTTATATTTGACATAGAAGTTGCTTACTCGACTATAATAATGCAATAAACGCTACGATAAACGAAGGAATCCACCAGTTCAGTAAACCAATTACACACAAACTAGGAGTATAACTAGGAGTATATATATAAGTGTATATTTTTGTATTTTAGACCCAGTGAACTCAGAAATCTTCAAGCAAAACAGAATAACATTGTGGTCACATAATGGTCACTTTTACATAATATGGTTTTGCCAATCAGAATAATTATTTCAGCATATTTGTGCATGAAAAGGGAACTGCGATGGCCATCAGCCAGGAGTCTTCACATATTGATGTCTTTGTGTATGAATTCGCTTTAGACTCAATGTTTTCTTTGAGTAATGAGATTTCAAGATGTCAGGTCACTGCTATCTTTGCGATTTAGTTATGAAAGCAACGGGATAATGAGGGCTTTGACATTTTTTCCTTAATCACTACGTTATAGTCCACTCCAGAGTTAGTGTATGTGGCTTGCATGCATTTACATTGCCTTACTAGCAGCTTACGACTTAAAAAGATGCTTAATGCATGTTAACGCAAATCTTCCTACATTGTGAAAAATGTTTGTAATTTTCACAGAAAAAGTAAAAATGCTATAGTAAAAACCTGTCAATTGGTTATAATTCATGTTTTATGGACAGAAACTTACAATGAACTGTAATTCATCATGTTGCTTTTTACCACCCGTATTGTTATGATTGTTATGAGGACATTTTAAGTTAAAAAGCAAAGTGGCTTAGTGAAAAATAAATATACGAAATGTATTTGAAATACATTTATTTCATGCTAAGAACACTACAAATACTTAATAAAAATACCCTGCAGTTGTACTTTTGGTATACTAAACTGGTACTTAAAGTCTGCTAAATTGGAACAAATACAGAGTTCTGGCATGAAACTCTAGATGGCGCAGTCCGATAGGTCTAACTCAATCTGACCTAATGACATCATTATCACATGGCACAGCTGATTGGTTCTCTCCTGTATCAGTAGCCAATGAGCTCGCTGCTCAACATTCAAATATATGACTAGTGCTTGTTTTAGCAGTCGCAGCGTGCTTCAGAAACCCTCCTTCTTCCCCAGCTCCACCTGTATAAATCTGCTACGAGGTGATTCATGTACGCTATATGGGAGTTATTTCATGTATGTTATATTTGCAGCAGCAATGTTTCTTACATGCTCACAGCAGCATGTTGTGGATGTATGTTGTGGATGTTGTGGACGCAGCAGCAGCAGCGTAGCAGATCTATTCCGCCAAGACCAAATACATTAACATTGTCATGTACATTACCATGCCAATCCCTCCGAGAGTTGTCATGACAGAACTAATTTTGTACTTAATGCACTTTAATTGTGCGGAAGTATTGCTGAAGTCCAACTAAAAATTATATTACATTATAGGCTTAATATTAAGAAATATGCATTGTGCACAAGTAATAGTCCTCCAAATAAAGTTTAATTATAATTTTTATATCAGCATGTCTCGAGCTATATATCAGTAAATATGTTAATAGATTTGAACTATACTTAGTATGAAATAAATGTATTTTAAATATATTACTTTTTTACTAGGGCTGTCATATTAACATTATATCACATTATATCAAATTATGTCTATAAATAATAAAGTATACAGTATTTTTGTCACAGTATTTCTACAATTAATTTCTGGCAACCACAGCTGCTATTTTTGCAGTAAATTTCACAGGATAATTTTGACAGTAAAATGTGTACAATATGAGTACTTTGATTAGCTAATAATGTATTTTTTAATGTTTTGGTCGTGCAGAAAGATGTCAAGTCTGACCCGAAGATTATCCAAGATGTGTCTATAGCAACAGACAGTCTTCTGGAGAGTTTGGGAGCATTAGCGGTGGAGGTAAGAGCCCCCGGAAATATCTCTCACCCTGCTTTTAGGGACTGAACTGGACACCAGCGTGAAGTGTTTAATTCCCACCCCCAGCTTCCCAAATGTCCTTATCCCGTATTAGACCGCTGGATCTGGCTAGTCAGAAAAACAACAGATTGATTAAAATGTCTTGTTATAATGCGATAAGAATCAATGACTGTTTAAATGGTAATTATGATTATATTACTGGTTTTTGATGTGTAATGTTGCATTATGCTAGTCCTGAAAATGTTATTATTTTGTGCTTAGGGGCCAATGAGTCATTAAGATTTTTGTTTTGTAAAGGTTCTTTAATGATGGTTCCATGAAGAATTAAAAAAATCCATGGAATCTTCTCATTCCACAAAAGGTTCTTTATGGTGGAAAAAGGTTCTATAAATTATTCAAATGTTCTACACACTAATAAAAAATGTTCACTGAAAGGTTCTTTGGGGACCCAAAATGGTCCTTCTACACCATCGCTGTGAAACCCGCCTTTGGCCCTATCAAGATATAACAAGAAACTTGTTTTGCTTAAAGAGAAGGAAAGTTCTGTTAATAGCTATTTCGGTTAGCATCCCACACGTCTTTGTCCCTCAGAAAAACCACAGAGCTGACACTTGACATTTCAGCCGTACACTCAGTGTTGCTGCTCGCAAGTATTTAGTGTCCAGTGAAACCAAACCTGAGCGTTAAGTGAGTTAACAGCGGTAGAGTGGCCCATCATAAGACTCCCGGTTCCCGCCAGCGCTGGGCAAAAAGTGCAGAGCTCGACAAATGTGAAGTAACTTGCTCTTAGAAGTGAAACAGGGACACACTTACTGTTTCCACATCATCTCACAGGGCATTTGTTCATGGAGAATGTGTCTCACAAGCAATCTCTTCCCGGTTTTATCGCTTGAAACAGAAATCGAGTCGACGCCAACGCTGCCCAGACTGGCATTACTTCCTCTTTGTTCTCACATAAGCGTTGCAGACATGCGAGCTGAACTCCAGTAACTCTCGCTAAAGCCAGAGGCAGAGAGGTTACTCCAGGTCATGCTTTATTTCTCCAGTTACTCTGCCGTATTTGCATGTCTGTCTGTCCTCCAGGGCTTCCTCAGACACCTCATGATAGCTTACAAGGCGACAGCTATAACAATAGATCTCCTCTATGACTAGCAATCGCATACGCAAGAGCGGGAACAGATGAATAATTTCCTAATGAGACGCCTGGATGATGTGGGCGAACTGATTCTTCCAGTAAAAATGCACATTAGCTTTGCAGAATTAAAGGACGGTACTATTTTAGTATTGTTTACTGTTATAGATTTTATTCATATTTTGAATTTATTTTCATTTTAACATTAAAGTTTTAGTATTTTTTGTTTTTTATTAGGTTTTTTTAAATGTCTCTATAGTTTTTATTTTAGTTATTTTAGTACTTAAAGGTCCCATATTGTCAAAACTGAAATTTCCTGGCTTTTTTCATGATAACTGAGGTCTAGGGGCTATTTA